CACAGAGAGAGAGAGAGAGACAGGCAGAGAGAGAGAAAGAAAGGGACAGACAGAGAGAGACAGAGAGAGTAAAGGGGCAGAGAGAGAGAGAGAGAGGGCAGGGGCCTATCTTTTAAAGGGGTCCTCTGCACCTGCGTGCAGACTTCTTTCCCATGGAACCTTGGGCTGACCAGGGTATTGCCTGAGTGGATTCCAACAGGGGCAGGCCAGCATATTGCCTGAACCTTTCACCTAGGAGCAGTCATTTCCTCATTTTTTTTCATTCAAGTGACTCGCATCCCCTCTGTAGAGGAAGGCTCAGATGAGTCTGTGCTGTGCATTTAATGGCAGTGAAGCTTAGATTCTAGCCTAGAGCAGGCCCATTGGAAACCTATGTCTCAGAAGGATGGTCCTCTGTAGTGCCCCACCTCAACTTTCTTGTCATCTTGTTCCTTTCTGTCCTTTCCCTTGCTCTCTGCCTTCCTGATCCCTGTGACCTCACCTCGGAGCCAGCGCAGAAGGAAGTAGTCATCAGCTTTGGGCAGGATGGGCAGCACGTCCTGGAGGTTCTCCCGGAACTAGGAGGAAAAGGACAGACATAATAGTCAGAGTGTTACTGGGCCCTGACAGCTGAAACCAGGGAAGACAGCGCCCTGTCCTCAGCTGGCCAATCAAGAGACAAGCAACAGTAAAATGCTGAGAAGGGGAGTTACTCAATGTAGCCACATTGGAAAGAGAAACAAATAAAGAGGCCCAGTGGTTCCCTACACACAGAGGTTCTGGAATGAGGATTAAGTTTGAACAAAGAACAAGAGAGGCATGCATAACTAAGCAGTCCTGACAAGAGGTGGTTCTACACACCACCAACCTGTCATGTTTATCCAGTCTATCAGAGGAGCTGTTAGAACAGTGTGAACCTCTTCTTGGGAGACAAGTACCTCTCCTGCCTAGTGCCAGTGCCTTCCCCGAATAAATACCAGAACTCTGGCCTTTTCTTCCCCAATTCTGGGTGATTCTGATGAAGGCTAGCCTCATGGTTCTAGAGACATTACCCCAGAAATTGCATCCTGATGGTCTGGAACAGAGAAGAGTTCCTCTCTCTTATCTTCAGTTGCCTCATTTGTGAAATGAAGGTAATGTCAAATTTGTCCAATCAAAGCTTGAATGTGTTTAAAATAAACATGTAAACCAGGTTTGGTCGTGCATATCTGCAACCCCAGCACTCAGGAAGATGAGGCAGGAGGATCAGGGGTTTGAGACAAGTCTGGGCTACATATGGAGTACATATCTAAAAAAGAAAAGAAAAGAAAACCAACAGGACTGAAGAGATGGCTCAGCAGTTAAAGATTGGATATTCTTCCAGAGGATCCAGGTTTGATTCCCAGCACCCACATGGCACCAGCCATGCATGTGATGCACATATATACATACATGTAAAACACTCATAAAACACACACACACACACACACACACACACACACACACACACACACACACACACACACACACTCTGTAAAGCTGGACCTAGTGCCCTAGAAGCAGAGATAAGTAGATCTTGTGATTTTAGAGCCAGTCAGGGCTGGGTACCTCAAATCTCTAAAAAGTAGCAATAATAATTGTTTAATTTTTGAGACAGGGTCTTACTATGTACGTAGACCAGACTGACCTGCCTCTGCCTCCCAAGTGTTGGGATTAAAGGTATTTGCCACCATGCCTGGCCAATAGTAATAATCCAAAAAATGAGAATACATTCTGCTTTGCTTACATAATTAGACGGGAATATGTGAAGACAAATGACCAAACATAAAGGAAGAAAGTCCCACACTTTAACAAGCAGACCATGAGGCCTTGGGGCTGATAACCCACAATGCTGTGTACAAACATTCACAGCCTAACCCCTAATGGCTAGTCTACAAATAAGTGGTGCTCTATAATTTCCTAAAGTCAGCCTCAGAGGCAGCTACTGACCCTGCACAAACAGCTTATTTGATGACTAACTAAACTTCTAGTCATCTGCTGTGACAGGCCAACCTACAGCATCACCTCGGTCAAGTCATACCTTCTCTGGGAGTGCACTGCTGTCATTGCATGGCTGTGCATCTAACAGATTCTCCTCTTTGGCCTTTTTCTTTTTGGTAAATCCATAGCCTTCATGTACCTCACCTGTCACTGTCATTCAGCGTGATAGTCTGGTGCTAACAAGGATTAAAGCATGAATCCCCGAAGGCAATGAGAAGATTCACACTGGAAGACAGCTGCAGCCTCAGGGACCAGAGGAATTCTTGTTGGGGTTGGAGGGTGTGAAGGGGGACAGTGCCCCTTAAGAAACAATAATGCTGCACCCCTCATCCCCTCTAGGCAACTGTTCCCTCAGCCTGGAGAAAAGCCACCATATAGTGTCATATGAAGATTGTGTGTCCGAAAGTGTGACCACAGTATCACATGAAGATTGTGTCTGGAAGTGTGACCACAGTGTCACTTGAAGAGTGTGTGTCTGGAAGTGTGACCACAGTGTCACTTGAAGAGTGTGTGTCTGGAAGTGTGACCACAGTGTCACTTGAAGAGTGTGTGTCTGGAAGTGTGACCACAGTGTCACTTGAAGAGTGTGTGTCTGGAAGTGTGACCATAGTATCATATGAAGACTGTATGTCTGCAAGTGTGCATAGTGTCACATGAAGACTGTGTGTCTAGAAGTGTGACATAATGTCATATGAAAACTATGTGTCTGGGAGTGTGACCACAGTGTCATACCAAGACTGTGTGTCTGCAAGTGTGACCACAGTGGTCCACGCTAAGCTCAGGAAGACTAGACTCTAGAAGGAAATGATCCTATGCACAGTCGTGCAGAGCTCTGGTCCATCCACAAGCCTTTCCCCTTCTTCCTCGTTTCTTTTCTCATAATTTTTAAAACAGCTCATAGGGCTCTCTATCACAATCTGATCCCAGAGGCCAGATGTCTAGTTCCAAAAGAACCCTGTGCCTGGTGCTTCCTGAGGCCATCAGTGCTGGGAGGCTGGTCAGATCCCACTGTTCCACTAAGGACCTCTCTTTCACCAGGAGAGCCTTGGCTGAATTCCAAACTCCCCTCCTTCACCCAGGACTCTCATTTCTCCCTGTAGGGTCCTTCCCTATGGGAGACACTTCAAAACAATCCATTCATCTCTTGTTCTTTGAGAGAGTGTCACTAGGTTCAGCTAGTCTTGAACTTGACAATCTTCCAGCCTTTGCTTCTCAAGGCTGGGATTCCAGACCCAATGCCTCCGGTGCCTGGCCTTCTGTCACAAATCTTAAGCTTCCCTGAGTGTGAGCCTGGGCTGGACTCCTAAGGCCTGGGCCTTCCCTTTCTGGTGGCTTCCCTTCTGTAGGTACAGCCTACAGTATGCTCTCAAAATAAGAGCCCTTAGCCTTTTATTTTTCTGTGATAATTAAAAGTAAATAAATACCTCTGATAAGAAGACTGTGAACCCTGGCAACAGAAACCAAAGCAAACCAAACATTGTCGAAATCTGGGCAGAGCTCTCTGATCTGCCTGGCAATAGCCACAGGCTGGGAACAGAGGCCAGGGCTGGGTGGTGGAGCTCGCTGTGCTGGAAGGCTGAATACACACACACACGCACACGCACACACACACACACACACACACACACACACACACGCACACGCACACGCACACGCACACGCACACCATGAAATAACCCAGAGAGGAGAGGAGGGGTGCAGTATGCAGTGCAGCGGCCTTGGAACAGTGCTTGGGAGGCACTGGGCTTCACCATCCAGTCCCCACACAGCACTACAGCCAATGTGAGTTCAGCTCCCGCACCTTTCACCTTCCACCCGCCTCACTCCTCACCCTGGCCAGTGTCTCCTGCTGCTGCGGGCTCAGTTCTCCAACTTGTCCGCTCATGGTGCTCTCTGCCTAGCTTCGTCTGCCACCACCCTGGCCCAGTTATGCCTAGCAGGTCTGATGCTGGTCCCGCCCCATGGGAGAGTCACTGTTTCTGCCCCGCCCTACCCAGTGCTCCCTGGTTTTTGTTTTTGTTTTGTTTCGTCTGCCCAGGTCATCAGGCCTACCCTATGGGGCAGAGGGGTGACTTGACCTCAAGAGGTAGGTGTCTTGAGAGTCTGAGGCAGCAAGTGGCCTCTACCTCCACGTCTTCACATGCTCAGGGCTCTGACACTCAGGTAGCGGTGGGCTGTAGGTGTTGGGGGTGTTAGGGATGTGTTCACCTAAAGACACATGCATGGGGGCAGTCTCTTCAGAATTGAGGATGTCACTGCCCCAGAGTTCTTTTGCCTAAGGAGAGACCAACCCCCTTTCCCTGACCTTGAACACAGGCTGGGCTCCATGAGTGGTCACTGGTCAGGAAGAGATCCCTTATGTGCCAAATGGCTCCAGCCCTCTAGACGTTGAGAAGGGTTAGGTAAGATGTGCCTCCCATGTTAGCAGAATGTCTGGTATGTCACACTCACTGTTATGGACACAGTTTCAAAACTGTTATGAAGGCTCTCAGTAGAGCCAGGAGCTACAGGATGGCCCAGGTGGTGAATTGTTGGGAGGTATCACAGCTAGAGTGACATATGACAGCCCAGGAGTGGGTGGGGGTGCTTTACACTGAGTAATCTGATCTCTCTGAGGAGGGTGAGAAAACACAGGCTGCCTTGGCATGAATTTTCTGGACAGCAGGTGGCAAGGGAGGGGGGAGGAGGAGGTGAAAACAGGCCACTGAGACCTTTCCCCTCTGTCCTCTCATGGGTCAAATCAAGTTCCAGATATAAGATGACCAAGCATGGGCTCATGTGAGACTGTTGCCCATTGGAGATGTGATTGGTTACCAGCAAGTATGGGCTGTACTAAGTAGAAACAGCAAACTAGATTTCAATGATTTAGTACCAGAAACAGTTAATATTTTATTATTTTTGCTACTGATATCATATGTTGATATGATATGTTTTTAAGATATACTGAAAACATAAAATACATTAAAAAGGAGGAGAAGGAGAAGAAGAAGAAGAAGAAGAAGAAGAAGAAGAAGAAGAAGAAGAAGAAGAAGAAGAAGAAGACAGGTTCTTATGCAGCCCAAGATGGTTTCAAACATTCTACATAATCAAAGAGAATCTTGAATTTTTGGTCTTCCTGCTTTCACTTTCCCAGTGCTGGGAGAACTGGCAGGTGCCACCATGCCTGGTGTGCTGGCTAATTTTATGTCAAATTAACATACACACATATGGAAACTCTGCTTTCTGATTTTCCAGAGAAATCTTAAAACTGTCCTAAAGAAGAAAAATCTATCAATTACAAATTGAAAACAGGTCAGCACTCATGAGGCCAAAGCAGGAGGATCTCTGTGAGCTTAAGGGAAGCCTGGTCTATCTATATAGTGAGTTCCAGATTAGTGACACTCTGTCAAAAATAAATAAATAAATAAATAAATAAATAAATAAATACTATGAAAAAAATGAAATCAAATGCATTTTGTGCTGGTCCATTCTGAGTCTTTTAACCCAAGGAATAGCTCAGTTTGTAGAGTGCTTGTCCTGTGTTCCATCTCCAGAACCACATAGACCAGGTGTCCTAGTTATCTGGAACCTGTTTTCAATTTGTAATTGAAAGCAGAGTTTCCATATGTCCTCTGCCATTCCCACCACTTCTGGGACCCTGGCGGAACACTGCTGTTCCTCAGTCTGTGACTTCCACTAGGGAGCAGTCAGCGAATGTAAAGAACTGTGTCCCCAGCTGAGCTCTCACTACCCTACACACACTGGATGCTCTGCCTATTCTTTTTAGTCTTTAGAAATGCAGGTACTTGGGCCTGGATAGATGGCTCAGTGGTTAAGAGCACTTGTTGCTCTCATAGAAAACCCCAATTTGGTTCCCAGCATCCACATCAGGCAGCTCACAACCGTCTGTAACTCCAGTCCCAGGGGAGCTGACATCCTCTTCTGCCCTTCTGGGGCATTTGCATTCACATGGTCCACGTACATACTCAGTTGCACAAACATATACAGTAAATAAATAAATGCCCTCTCTGGCCTCTACAGACACTGAACACATATGGTGCATATACACACACACAGGCAAAACATCCATACATATAAAATAAAAATAAATAAACCAGGGTCTAGAGAAATGGCCCACCAGTTAGGGACATGGTTTCTCTTCCAGAGGTCCTGGGTTCAATTCCCAGTGCCCACCTAGTGGTTCACAACCACCTGTAACCCCAGTCCCATGGGATTTGACACCATCTTCTGGCTTCTGTAGGCACCAGGCACACATGTGGTGCACATACACATAGACAGAACACTTACACACACACATACAAAATAATAAGTAAATAAATAAATAAATAAATAAATAGATCTCAGAGCTTTGTGCATGTTAGGCAGTGGCGTTGCCACTGAGCTATACCCTCAGTCCAAGATTCTGTTACATAAGAAAACATTGCACAGGGCTAGAGAGATGGCTCAACAGTTAAGAGTACTGGTTGCTCTTCCAGAAGTTCCAGGTTCAATTCTCAGCACCCACATGGCAGCTTACAACTATCTGTAACTCCATTCCAGGGCATCTGGCATCTTTACACAGACATATATGCAGACAAAACACCAATTCACATAAAATAAAAATAAATTATATATAAAAGCCGGGCGGTAGTGGCTCAACGTCTTTAGTCCCAGCACTCAGGAGGCAGAGGCAGGAAGATCTCTGTGAGTTCAGCCTGGTCTACAAAACTACATAGAGAAACCCTGTCTCAAAGAACCAAAAAACAAAAAATACAAGTTTATGATAAAAATAAGGCACAAACAGAAAGTAGATCCCAAGCACCAATTCTCAGAGAAGCAAATGAGCAGGCACTTTGGTCAGGTGTTTCCCTGCCTACTCCCAGGTCTTGTTATTCACAGATGTTCAAGCAGTGAGGTGCTTTACACCTCTGAAAAATCAGAAATTGAAAAAAGCAACACACACAATGCATAAAAATTGATGATAGTTAGATAGCCTGGCGTTGGTGGCGCACACCTTTAATCCCAGCATTCGGGAGGCAGAGGCAGGCGGATATCTCAGAGTTTGAGGCCAGCCTGGTCTCCAGAGCGAGTGCCAGGATAGGCTCCAAAGGTACACAGAGAAACCCTGTCTCGGAAAAAAAAAAAAAAAAAAATTGATGATAGTGGTGGTTGGGTTGCTGCGAGTTTGAAATTATCCACCGCCGACGGCTACCACTCACCGCCATGGGCCGTGTGATCCAAGGGCAGAGAAAAGGCTCTGGTTCTGCGTTCGCGCTCACGTGAAGCACAGTAGGGGCGCCACGCACTTGCGTGCTGTGGACTTTGCTGAGTTGCACCGCTATATTAAGGGTATCATAAAGGACATCATTCATGACCCGGGTCACGAAAGTGGTCTTTCATGATCCCTACCAATTTAAGAAGCAGACGGAGCTGTTCATCGCTGCAGAGGGAATCCACACTGGGCAGTTTGTGTACTGTGGCAAGAAGGCCCAGCTGAATATCGGCAATGGTTTTTGTTTGTTTGTTTGTTTGTTTTTCTTTTTGTTATTTATTTATTTATTTGTTTACTTATTTATTTTTCGAGACAGGATTTCTCTGTGGCTTTGGAGGCTGTCCTGGAACTTGCTCTTGTAGACTAGGTCGGCAATATTTTGCCCGTGGGCACCATGCCTGAGGGTACTATCGTGTGCTTTCTGGAGGAGAAGCCTGGGGACAGGGGCAAGCTGGCACCAGCCTCTGGGAACTATGCCACAGTCATCTCCCACAACCCGGAGACCAAGAAGACGAGAGTGAAGCTGCCTTCAGGGTCCAAGAAGGTTATTTCTCGGCCAACAGAGCTGTTGGTGGTGGTGTGGCCGGTGAGGGTAGAATTGACAAACCTATCTTAAAGGCTGGCTGTGCCTACCACAAGTACAAGGCAAAAAGGAACTGTTGGCCACATGTACCGGGTGTGGCCATGAATCCTGTAGAGCATCCCTTTGGAGGTGGTAACCACCAGCACATTGGCAAACCATCCACTATCCGAAGACATGCCCCTGCTGGGCACAAAGTGGCTCTCATTGCTGCCTGCTGGAGTGGGCGACTACGTGGAACCAAAACTGAACAGGAGAAGAACTAGAACTCAGGAGCTAACAAAGTATGTCCTTTGGCTAATAAAAAAAATGATGACAGTGCTATATAGTTGTGGGTGAAATGGAGACATATATATATATATATATATATATATATATATAATTTAATTTTAATCTTATGCATATGGTTGTTTTGCCTGAGTATATGTCTGTGCACCCCTGCATGCAGAGCCTAAAAGAGGGTGTCAGATTCCCTAGAAATGGAGTTATAGACAGTTGTGAGCCACCATGAGGGTGCTGAGAATCAAACCCTGGTCCTCAGGAAGAACAGCCAGTGCTCTTAACCACTGAGCCACCTCTCCAACACTGAGACTTCCATATATTACTGGCAGGGGGCGGGGACTGGCAGGAGCAGCAGCTGTTTGTCTAGAAATTACTTGACAACACCCAAACATTTTACCACTTTGCTCATTGATAATCCTGATGGAAAACAGTTCAGACTTAGTTATATTGAATATATATATATAGTACTGGAGAGATGGCTCAGTGGATAAAGATGCTTTCCATTAAGTTGATGACTCACATAGTAGAAGAATGCTAACTCCAGAGAGTTCTCCTCTAACATCACAGGGGACATACACACACACACACACACACACACACACACACAATCAGTGGATTAAAACCCAGAATGTCAGCTGGGCGGTGATGGCGCATGCCTTTAATCCCAGCACTAGGGAGGCAGAGGCAGGCAGATCTCTGTGAGTTTAAAACCAGCCTGGTCTGCAAGAGTTAGTTCCAGGACAGCCTCCAAAGCTACACAGGGAAACCTTGT